CCCACCCCGGCAGGCTCACCTGGCTGTAGGGCTCCATGGCGCTGCCCTGCAGGAAGGCTTTGATCTCCTCCTGGATGAGGTTCTCCTGGCCCTCCACCATGCAGACGGAGCTCCACCATGCAGACGGAGCGCTCAGTGGTGACGTCCCGCAGTGGGCGCAGCCGCTTGAAGGTGAAGGCCAGCGTGAGCGGTACCCCCACCTGGGCCCGCTGGTCCAGCAGCTGGCGCGTCAGCAGCTTGTCCTCCAGCAGGCGGGCCAGCTCCCCCGAACCTCCCGTGGGGCAATCCAGGTTGCGCGCCAGCTCCCTCGCTGACTGCCCGTGCTCCTTGCATGGCCCGAAGGAGCCCATGAAGTAGGTGACGCAGCGCGGGGGCGAGAACTCGTCCAGGCACGTGCGCCCACCCAGCTCGAAGGAGACAGCCTTGGAGACCAGCAAGGACGACTCGCCAGGGTGCTGCTCAGAGGGCACCTTGGCCAGCCAGCTGGGCGACAGGCACAGCAGCATGTTACCTGGGGGAGGGGGGGGAGAGGAGATGTGGAGAGATGGGGAAGGAAAAGGGGATTCAGAGAAATGTGGAAGGGGGAGGTCCGGGGTGAAGGAGGGGGGACAGCAAGGAGGAGGGGGCAGAGAGGAGGACAGTCTGTTACCATTACATCACCAGCAGCCAATCAGAAAGCCAGAGAGCTGCTATTTATACAGCAATTAACTGACTTTCCTCTACTGGGATTTCCTCTCCTCTCCCTACACCTCACAAGGTAGGAAGTGCCGGCCTGTTTTGTACTTGGGAGCTCAGTAGGGGGTGCTCTCCCCATGCACTCACTGCTGCCCCAATGCTCCAGCACCCCAGCATAGTATTATGGGGCACTATGCTGCAGGAAGCAGGGAGGGTGCTCAATAGGGGGCGCTCTGCCTTTGCAGTCTATGCCCCAGTGCAGAACTAGGGGGCGTTATACTGTAGAGTAACATCTCCTCTGCCAGTTCCCTCCAGTCACCCCCACTTCTTCAGCCTCTCAACACACAAGAGGGAAGAATGAAAGAAATCTTGCTAGGTTTGAATAAGCTTCTGATCGATATTCAAGCTTTTGGCTGCTTATCTAACCGAGCCCCAGACAGTCTGAATTTCACTCATCGCTGTCAATACAGTTACAATTAGAGACAGGCTCAAGTCGAACAGTTTGTATCCAGAACCAGATCCAAGTTCAAACCTCCTCAAGGTTTAGGATGGGAAGCCATACTTGTTCTAGCTCAGCCCATTGCAGATACACGCACAGCTCACAACGGACAGTTCTGGACCTGTATCAAAACTTCCCCAACGTTTTGGCCCATTTTTAGAGTCAAACCCTGAGAAGTGCTGTGGAAACTGCAAGCACTCTGCACCCCTCAGTATCTGTCCCCTCACTAAATCATCATCAAATATACTTGGAAAATTCAGTTCCACTAAAAATTTCCAAATAATCTGACTGATACCCCACATTTGGCAGAGTCTTCTGCTAAATCTGGGGCAGATCTTCATGCAGATGCACATGCACATAAACATTTGCATGCATAAATCAAGCAGCTAGACATGCAAAGCTCCTTAGGTTTTGCTCTCGCCAGTCATGGGTTTTTGCACTGGCAAATGGCAGCACCTGCAAATTTTGAAGATTCACATGTGGAATAGTCACCAGCTCAGGAATAATCCAGAGGGGCCTGGCTCATATGCTATCAAGGGCTTCAGAAATGTTGGAACACCAATAAGGAGAGGTTGTTGGGTTCTTATTACCAAATAGGGAACCAGGCCAGCTCTGAACTTTGCTATACAGACAGAACAGGTGGTTGTCCAGAGCAGCAAAATGTTTCTGGCTGTTTGTTTCTGACTGGGGGGCTGTAGGGAGCAGCCATTTTCCAGTTTGACTTGAGTAGCGAAAACCCTATTTCAAGCCGACAGTGATCATAACCTGGCCAATGGAACCAATGGAGCCAAAGGAAAAGAGTAAAGGGGTTTCTTCTGGCTTTTTAATTCAACTGCTGGGCAAGGCAAGAAATCTCTCTGTGCTTCTACTGTTCCTGCTAACTGTCGGCTCAGTCCGTGCCAGGCCTGGAGCTGAAAGACACTCTGCCAACTTGGCACCATACCACCATTCTCCAGACTGCCCGTCACTTCTGCACTGACCTACAGGGCAAGTGCCAAACCTCGAACCCCTCAAATGAGTGACCAGCACGCCCACTTCCTCTTGTTCCCATAGCTCTGCTGGGCCTGCTGGCTACCTCCCAGGGACGCCCACTGCTCAGCCCTCCCAGGTTCCCTCTTTGGGGAGGGGAACATACAGCCAGTCAGTTATGTTCCTCACTTTGATTACAATAGCGCCACCAACCAGAAAGCACAGTGATCACCAGCTAGCCAAAGTAGCCCAGCGAGAGGGCCCTGGTTACAAGCTACTTTGCATTTAGGTTCAATCTTCAATCAACCCATCTGCCACTCTGATAAATCCGTGGAACTTGGCCACCCCGAAAGATCCAGAGCCTAAAGGTGTAACATCCACTGCCCCAAACAGCAAAGGGGTACTAGGCAGCCTTGCCCCCACCTCCCCAGGTTCCAAACACTAAAGTGACACTATCGTCAATTGTTGGGTAGTGAGATGCAGCAGTAGGGCTGGAAACAGTCCCTCCCTCTCTGCTGTCGGCTCTGTACTGTGCCTGGGATCTGAGACACCCCAGACTCTCTTTCATTCGGTAGCTAGGGAAAAAAATACTGACCTTTCCTAGTGATAACTTCAGTCCAGTGCAGTAACCATCCTTTCCCTAGGCTAGGGAAGCTCCTTCATTGGAGGTTTTCAAAAAGAAGCTGGATAGCCATCTGTCTTGGATAGTTTAGATACAACAAATCCTGCATCTTGGCAGAGGGTTAGACCAGATGACCCTGGCAGTCCCTTCTCACCCTATGGTTCATTGATTCTGTGACCTCCCACTCTCTTCCTCCCCTACGGCGTTCCTGATCTTTTCCCCATGTAACCCCTTTGGGGTTTAGAGAGCATGGCCCTTTAAATTTTTTTCCTAAGGTGGAAGTGGAGAGTAAGAAAAAAGGAGGGAAACTCCAGGGGGCAGCGCTGGAGCTCCAGGGAGAGGGGGAGGTAGGCTGCAGGCCCTGGAAAAGTGAAGCAGCAGAGAACCTGCCCGAGGCCTGGGACGGACAGGGCCGATCCGGGACACCCCAGGACAGGAGCCAGGAGGAGCACTGTGCTAGGGAGGAATTGCCCGAGAAGGACAGGCCGGAGCTGGACCCAGTATCACGGCTGCCCTGAGGTGCATGGGGCTGTGACTACTGGGGCTTGTGACTCTGCATTGGGAACAAGGAGGGAGGTTGCTAGATAGTTAAGTGGGGAGGTGGTCGCTCTGTGTGGCTTTGCAGAGAGCGGCAGAAGAGGGCACCGGAGGGGTTTGTTGGGGGAAAGTTCACTGGCGCCGAAGACGACCAGGAGCACCCAAGACTCACCATTGGACTGGAACTTTGCTCAGGACTCCTAAACTCTGTGTGCAGACAGCCACATTGCTCAGTGTCTGCCCTTCCAGACTGTGCTGCCACTGGGCCTGTGGGGCCTTGGCTTGGAGGCAGCCCTGTTCTACTGCTCCCCCTATATTTCCCCTTGTTGTTTTTCTCCTCTCATCCCTCTGTAAATAAATATTTCCCTTGTTATATCCACTGTACTTTTCCTGGGGGGGGGGGGTGTTCACTCTGGGGGGTTTGGAACAGGTGCCCCTGGGGTGGAAGGGATTTCTCCTGCTGCATTCCTGCGCGCGCCATCTCTTGGCCAGAGCTGCCTGCAGAGCAGACTCCATCTTGCCACGAGGACGCTAAAGTTACACCCACATCTCCCTTCTTGAGACACCTGTTATTTGCAAACTCCCAGATCAAATCCAGATTCCTTTTACAGCAAATCTCTTCACCATCCCGGAGTAATTTTTTTAGGTGGGGTGCTGTCTATTACAGAAGTGGTAGAAGAGAGTGGGGGGCACTCTCCCCTTGTACTCAGCACTAACTCCCACTAGGGGGCACTGTACTCCTGGTGCTGGTGCCACCTTAAATAAGAGACACAAACCAAGATCTTTAACCACTTGTGGCACTCCGACATGCCACCTGGCCCAGCACGGAGGAGTCAAACTCTCTTCATTGCATTCTAGGCTTCCCCTGCGGCTCTTGTCCTGCTGTGGGGTGGCTCAACAACTGCCACACCCCAAAGGTGGCTGCGCTGCAGGGCCATGAGAGGGACTCCCTGGACAGCGTGTGTCAAGCAGCTGGATTCTCCCCAGGGAGCAAAGAAGGACCTTGGAGCTCTCCTTATCAATGACTGATGGGGCTGAGCTGCTAATTGTATTTCCCCACAGAGCTCCGGCTTCCTGTCAAGGGTAAGCGGCTTTAACAAAGGCAGGAATCATCCCAGGGCCAAAGGGAAACTTGAGCTGCTTGGCTCCAGTTCCCAGCACCCAGCGAGGGAGACTGGGCAGGAGAGTGCCAGGAATGTGGAACAACTGCTGGCAGCCCTCCACTCGGGCCCAGGCTGGAGTCCTTCAGCCCAGGGACCTTACTAGGACAAGGTTACGGCTGAGAGGAGAGGCCGGAACAGCCCCAAGCGCAGAGCCAGAGCCGGTCAGGGGCGTAACAACAATCTTCAGCCTGCACAGAGAGCTAGGGGCAGCCAGACCAGGGTTACGCTTGCTCCTGCTTCTCCATTCCCCTCTGCTCTAATCCACCCACACACACCAGCTCCTCCCCCCATTCAGCCCCCACATATCAGCCCCTCTCCCTCCCCATACACCATCTCTTCTCCATCCACCCC